TTATGTTCTACTAATCTTTGTCTAATAGGTCGGCATGTCTCACCAACATAACATCAACCACATGAGCAAAACTAAGATCCTACGCACAAGTTGGGGAGGCCTTTGGTATAGTCGCAGACTCATTTCGCCGTATATTATTAGCCGCGAAATATTGTAAAAGTTTACTAATTAATTGAACCCAGACATTTGGCCTAACTAAACAAATACGTGAAAAAAAACGCTGCGTCTTCTCGATCGCGCCATATGATCGTACTAGACACGTCGAGGTGCGTAGAACTTTCGCGGCAGATTTAGAATGTTCTGGAAGATCTTGCGGAAAGTATACAAGCGAGCGTTGCCGGCTCGATGCAGTTAGTCGACTTATAATTTGAGTCTTGTGAAATTAAACAGTGACATAAATTAGTAAATGAGTTCATATTGTCATTTAGTTAGTGTTACATTACTTCTTGTTTGTTGTCTTTTAATAAAAAAAATTGTGATTTTTTGCTCTTGTATCTTTGATAATGTACCGATTTGTGGACAATTATAAACGTAATAGTGCAGATAAAGAAAGTATGCCTTTAAGCGGTGGCACTGTTGTGAAGAAACGAAAATATCGTAAATATGATGACAGTTATTTATAGTTTGGTTACTAATTCCATTTTCAACGTCGGAATGGAGCAAAAATCAACGTGAAAAATGAAATGAGGGTGGCCGTGTCCAGTTTAATTGCATGATTTGAGAAAATGTGCAGTAACTTGCAGGCTCATCCCCGCCATCTTGTCTCTTTGACGAGTTCGTAGCTATGTGTGGAGAATGGCAAAGCTCACTGATGATGCCGATTACGATGCCGGCGAGACCTTTGAGAATGTATCAAGTCCACTGTCAGATGCTGGGAATCATGACAACTACTCTGGCGGACGACTTCGGACCAATTGCGTTCTACATAATCGCCATGACAACGAGACCAAGTTGCGAAAACGAGGTCAACTCAATTTAAATCTTTTACTCAAAACTTATAAACCAAGAGTTTACTCTAAACCCAATCTTTCTGCGCATGTACTACTTATAAGCTACTTTAGCGGTTGTAATAAGACAGGGCATGCTTTTCCTGACTTGTCTGCAAATGAGCGAAGTTCATGCTTCAAATCACTTTCGATAAGACCCAACATCTGAGTAAACTTAGAAAGACACTGGAGTTTGATCCTTTAATGCTGACACTAATTCTGGCGTATAGTTGCATGTGTGTTGTGTGCAGGAGGTATTAATGAAATAGATGAGATTATAGAGCATCTTTCTCGTATTCTGTGGTTCGTCTCCCTACTTCCAATCAATTGCCAAAGTCTGTACCAATGCAATTTTCTACCTTCATTTCTTCTAGTCAGAATGCTTTCCATTTTCTTACTTTCTATTTAACCCATAATCGCCATGCATCTGATACAAATTTGGCTTTTACATCTCTCAGTCTGGGGCTCTGTTGAAAGCTATTCCCGATTTGAGGATGCGCAACATTTTCTGGCGTTTTGCTGTCCAGTTACCCTCTTCTGTCTGCCTTGACATGTCTCACTTACATTCGCTCTACCACTCGAGCACAATACATTATAGCTGCCTGATTTTAAAAATGGCTTCGAATATTCCAGAACGAATAAAATGTTAATTACATGCTTCATTCTAGGCCCTCGATAGTTCGTCTAACTGTTTTGAATTGCGAACCAATAATGGTTGTCCAACTTTCTGATTTGTTTCAACTAGCCGTTTCCCTTCGCCTATTCCTTGATATTGTAAACTAATTGAAAAGTAATGCCAATTAATATTTGATTCAGAATAACACTTCAACTAAGCCTCATTCTGGGCTTGTGTTGATGACCTCCTATCTTTGTCTCTGTGTCAAGTTGTTTGTATGCATTCTGTTGTAACGAAGCGATTCGTAAACAGCCATTTTTCTCACGTCTCTCCCAACCCTGTTCAACTCCCCTCCATGCAGATGGACGAGGCGGCGGATATGGTGCCTCAGCACTTCGGCACACTCCATATCATTATAAGTTACCTGGTCAAGAAGTTCATGCTACAGATCGACGTGGGCCAGTCAATGGAGATACCGGATAAGCTTCACGGCGGATGCTCGTCTTATCAGGTACGTCTCTTCGTTTGGCTCATTGGGGTCGGTGTCAGGTGTCACTCCTGATTGCACAGTAGGCCAGCGAAGCACTCGCACCTCGCCTGTTAGGCCGGGACTCGAACCATTTCTGGTCATCTGCTTTCTTTATTGTGCAATTGAGTCCATTCGGATGGGACCGCCTTCTTCACTCCTAACCAACCACAAAAGTGTCTCGATCTGATGAATCTGCGCTCGGTTCTGCCGTAATGTGAACAGCATATTCGAGGAAGAGTTTTTTTGTGGTGTTAAGAATACATTTTTGGTTCGACCTTCTCTGAAGACGACAAAAGATTCCACTTGATCGGGCGTCGACAGGTTCAACAGAGACATTTTAGATGACACAGTCCTCGAGACAAGTACTTGTTGATCCGTTAAAATCGGGCTGAGCTTTAATCGGTCATATGACAGATCTTAGGCTAGACTTCTCACCGATCGGAACTGTATTCAGCCCATGAGGTACGAGAAAATAGAAGACTGATATTTGTATTTTCCCATATAATGCCAAGGAATTTCACTTCACCTTGCCCCCTAAAATGTACTCTCAGCCCGGCTGGACTAAACTCGATTACAAATTTGACTTCATTTCCCGTTGGGGGTGCTAATGAGACCAATTAAAGCGAGGTGGAGACTGCAGTCAAGTCCAGTCTGGATAGGAATACCTTTCACGAAGCAAGGCTAAGTGGGATTTCCGAAATAAGTGGGTTTCGCGACTACCAATAATTCTTGATAAGAGATTAGTCTT